GATTTCTTGTAAGAGAAGTGAAGAATGAGCCAAATAAGCAAAAGTTGAACCAAGAATCACTTAAAATCTTGCTTCCAAAACTAGATCCAAATCCAAACAAAAATCAAATGATGAATTGAAGTTAATGGAGATGAATGGTAGAGGTTAAGCTCTAGAATTCAAGTATTCCAATGAAGAATCAAATGATTCAGGTGACAGAGCTCTAATGGAGTTTTGGAGTGTGAGGGAATTGAGAGAAAGTTGAGAGAATTTGAGATCAATGTGTAGAGAAATCAGAAAAATGAAGGTTATTGTCTATTCCTCTCTTGTAGTTTGGAGTGAATTAGCTTAAATAAGCTTTTGTTTATGGGTGAAATTATGGTTTGGAGTGAGGGTTTGAAAATTGGAACGAGATTAGGAATGGAAATTTGGAGGGAAATTGGATGGAAAGTTGAGATGACATACTTCAACTTTGATGTTTAAGGCTTGTCTTGAATAAATGTGGATCATGGATAAAAATGGCCCTAAAGTTGGCTCAAACATGAGACAAATTTTGTCTAAAATTTCTCTAAGTGTTTAGGTTCAAAAGCATGAAACCTCCAACTTCATGGCTCCATATCTCTTAATCTATGCATTTTTTGAGATTTCACCCTCAAGGACAAAGTTGTAGTATGTAACAAAATATTCAATTTGATATTTGGTTCAAAGAAAATGGTTACTTAGATTGGAAGTTACGGCCTTGGACAGTAGGGAAAAACTCATTCAATTTTATAACTTAGAAAAAATTCAATTTCTCTAATGTTGCCCTTTTTACAAGTAACCTCACTTTTGTTGATTTACATTGATCAATCATGATCCCAACCACATATTATCATTATTTTTTACTTAAGGAAACCATGTTTGACTAAGAAAGTCAAAATTAAAACTTAACTTTAATTAGGGGTTGACTTTTGTATCAGATGAACTTGAATTTTATGATCTTCTATGAAATCAAACTCCTAGGCTAATTGAACCCTATGGATGGACTCAAAAGGTGTTCTTGAGTGTCTTGAATCATGTCCCAAGTTTTTAGATCATGTTTTGGTCAAAAGTCAAAGGTGCAGTTGACTTTTTCTTAGAAACCCTAGTTTGTGGACCAGATGACTTCGAATTCTTGCATTGCTTTATGAATCAAGTTCTTTGGATTAATCCAATCATATGAAGGGACAAATATGAGGAATTTAAGGTCCTTGAAACATATCTTGAGGTTTCAGATCATGCATTAATCCAAAAGTCAACATAGGGACTGAATTAGGTCAAAACCCTAATTTTGTTGCTCTGAGGATCTTGAGGCTTGATGAGCTTGTTATGATGCTATCTTGCACTTGATTTGTTGATGGAAGAAAACTATTGATCTTCATGGATGAATAAGGGCCTTAGGATGTTGAATATGATGCCAATCCTTTAACAATTCATCTACTTGAGCCCTTGGGGGACACCTAACCTGTAAAGCAAGCAAGCACATACACATCTTGTTTTTGATATGGGTTAATGATGCATAAAGATACACATACACATTCAATGATGAATGTGGTGAATGAAGTTTCATCTTAGGGGTATAATAGCATGAAATCTTGCAAATATTTTTCAAATATAAAGAAACTATGCAGGTTCTAATGGGAAACCATTGAAGAGTGAACATAGGAAAACCGAGGACGAACGTTGAAGCACTATAAATCTCGGTGTCATCTCTCTCTACAATAAATCTTGGTGTCATCTCTCTCTTTCTCTCTCTCTCTCTCTCTCTCTCTCTCTCTCTCTCTCTCTCTCTCTCTCTCTCTCTCTTTTTCATTCTCTCTCTCTCTCTCTCTCTCATACACACACACACACACACACTTTGTCTCTTTTACTCTTGCATTTAATTTCGTAGTATTTTAATGCTTAGGTATTTTAATTATATCGTAGTTTATTGGTTATTCAATTGATAGCGATTTATTACATAAGCATTAGTATTTTTTGGAATTAGATACCTTGTTAAGTTGGATTAGTGATTAATATTTTGAGAAACAAATTAATATTTCGTAGTGATTAATTTTTTGGAATTAGATACCTTGTTAAGTTGAAAACACTCCGATAACTTTTTAAAACGGAAGTTGAATTTCATTTGGGTCTATTCGCCCACCTCTAGACCATTTTCCTACTCCCATATTCACACCCAACATACACAAACACACTATGTTTCCAAATCCCCTATACCTGGAAACCCCATGCATGCACTCAAAGATATGAATTGGAAAATATCCCTGGATGATGAATATAATGCTTTGATTCAAAATAAGACGTGGGTTTTAGTGGTCTCTCCACCTAATGTCAATGTTATTAAATCTATTTGGTCTATGAATATAATGCTTTAATTGTATTTATTAGTTATGATCAATTATATTTATTATAGTTAGTAGTATCCATATAAGATTTCACAAGATTTGTATATAATTCACAAATTGTATCAATGTGAATGTAGCTAACCCAACTCACTTTGAAAAAAATAAAAATTATTTCAACATCCAAGCTGACTGACACCCCCCCCCTCACTATTAAACTCAGACCAACCACCAACTCTCTCAAACTAAGCCCATTGCCTCTACCACCCACCCCAACTTCTTCTACACCGTCGGCCAACCCAACCATAGATGCCACACAATCGACTAATGCACCAACACACCTATGTTCGAAAACCCCCTCTACCTAGAAACCTCTTATTTGCACTCAATGATCTGAATTTGAAAATGGCCATGAATGATAAATATAATTCACTAATTAAAAATAAGATGTGAGATTTAATGTCTCGATCAACTGATGTCAATGTTATTCAGTATATTCGATCTATGGATATACTATTTTAATTTAATTGATTAGTTATCAATTATATTTATTAGCTATTATTCATATTCATATATAATTTTACAAGAGTTTTATCTATTCACAAATCGTATGAATGAAAGGAAGAGAATCATATTCTCACAATCTTTTTTTTTCTTTTTTTTTTCAAAACCGTCAACGTTGGCACATGTCAACTATTGAATTTATCAGATGGATCAAAAGGTGTGGACTCCATAGTTCAGTTCGTGCTCAAAAGTCAGAGAATCTACTTCCGTTTTATATTTGGTTCAAGAATTCATGTCAAATATATGACAAGTAATATAATAGGTGAAGTCATAACTTTATTTCATTGGCTTTAGAAATCATGTAGTGGCACAAGACACAACCAGTTAATTTCAAGAAAGAAAGCATGCATAAATATTGCTCACAATGATGAAAGGTTTGAAATCCTAATTATTATGTATTATAATATTTTCACGGTTATATGATTGAAGAATCGATCCATTATCACTGTCAATATAATTTGCTATTATTTGATGGGTGTTATGCTATCACTCATTTGCAGACGCATTGATATTTAATTAGTTTAGTAATAAGGAAATAGAATTTATATACGTATAGATATAATTTCTTATCATTTATGGACACCTATTTAAGATACAACATATTCTCATGCACGAAGAAGATAGAGACAATCACTACAAGAAAACACGATATTAGCTAAGGGCATGGGCTAGGGGGGGAACCCCTCACTAAAATAAATCAGATTGCTTGGGGTTAAACCCCTCGCAAAACACAAAATAGAAAGGGAAAAAAACAGTTAGCTAGGGGATACCCCTCGCGAACAAGGAGGGAAATTTTTTTGAAATTTGAAAAATGCTTTTACTAGGGTCATGCTCGGATTATGCTCAGATGGTTTTACTCCTTATAACTAATTGTCAGCAATTGCCTATTCTTGTTGGCCAGTTATTATTACCCCGTACAATATCCCTCCTGAGATGTGCATGACGAAACCTTACATGTTTTTGACATGCCTCATTCCAGGACCGTCGAGTCCAAAAGCTAGAATAGATGTTTATTTGAAACCTTTAATTGATGATTTGAAGAGGTTGTGGATTGGAGAGTGGACTTATGATGTGTCTCGCAAATAAAACTTGAATATGTGAGCTGCTTTAATGTGGAAAATTAATGACTTTCTTGCATATAGCATGTTGTCTAGTTGGGGTACGCATGGAAAAATGGGATGTCCACATTGCATGGGATACACAAAAGCGTTTACTTTGCAAATGGGTGGTAAAAGTTCATGGTTTGACTGTCACCATAGATTCTTACCTATGAACCATGTTTTTAGAAAAAATAAGAATGCTTTTAGAAAAGGAATAAAAGTAACAGATCTTCCTCCCCCTTGTCTGTCATTGACTGAAGTATGAAGTAGTGTTAGTGACCAGCCAAAATCCACAGATAATGGTAAAACATGCAGAATTCCAGGATATGGGGATACTCACAATTGGACAAAAATAAGTAATTTTTGGGACCTCCCATATTGGAAGGATAATTTGTTGTGACATAATCTTGATGTTATGCATATTGAGAAGAATTTTTTTGATAATGTATTTAACACAGTGATTGATGTTCAAGGTAAGACAAAAGATAATGAGAAGGCTAGAAAGGACTTGGAACTTTTGTGTAATCGAAAAGACTTGGAGTTAAAACCTCAACCAAATGGAAAATTATTAAAACCCAAGGCTTGTTACACTCTTACTCCCCAAGAAGAAAAAGTAGTTTGTTGATGGTTAAATGAGTTGAGGATGCCCGATGGCTATTCTTCTAACTTAGCAAGATGTGCTGATGCAAAAACAAGAAAGCTGCATGGAATGAAAAGTCATGATTGTCATGTTTTCATGGAACAATTGCTTCCAATTGCATTCAGTTCACTTCCTAAGCATGTTCTTAATCCACTAATTGAGATTAGTCAATTTTTTAAAGACATTTGTGCGTCAACTTTACGAGAGGATGACATCTTTAAGTTGAACCAAAATATTCCCATCATTCTCTGCAAGTTAGAGCAAATATTTCCCCTAGGCTTCTTTGATTCTATGGAGCATCTCCCTGTGCATCTTGCTTAGGAAGCTTACCTTGGTGGACCTGTTCAATATAGATGGATGTATCCATTTGAACGATTCATGGGTGATTCAAAGCGATCAGTGAAAAATAAGGCAAGAGTTGAGGGATCAATATGTGCACATTATTTGCATAGAGAAACTTCACATTTTTGCTCTCATTATTTCAATCATATGATGTTGACTCCGAGAATCATAAGGAATGAAGTTCACTTTAGAGAAAGAAGTCAATTCACCTTATCGATTTTTGGTCGTCCCGGTCGTCCTTTTGGAAAGACAAGTGTGCATTGGTTGTCTAAAAAAGAAATGCAATCTGGTCATGTTCATGTGTTGATTAACTACGTTGAAGTTAAACCATATCTTGAGTAAGTATATTAAATTAAGTTTATATTTTTTTTGCTAAATATACTTGTCAGTTTAAAATAGATTTTTTCTTCTTTGAAATAGGGCATTTAATACTTATTATTTGCAAAGCATGGGTGAACAACCATCGACGGGTTACACACATGTCTATTTTCCTACATGGTTCAAGCAATAATTACATTGCATTGTTACACCAAGTCCTGAAATAATTCATTTGAGAAGTTTATTTGAAGGCCCTCATCAGCGTGCAAATGAATGGCACACATACTTTGTAAACGGGTATAAATTTCACACTCAAACATGGATAGAAGGGAAGAAAACAATAAATAGTGGTGTAGTTGTAAAAGGAGTTACAGAGGGTGGTGAGGACGACTTTTATGGTGTTATCACACATATTTATGAGTTGGTATATAATTATATGGGCTCAGAAAATAAATTTGTCCTATTTTATTGTGATTGGTATAATCCATCTTCCAGAGGAACTAAAATAGATTAAAAAAAATATAACACTGCTGAGATACAAATGGATAGAAAGTACAAAGAGTATGACCCTTTCATAATGGCACATAATGTTAGGCAAGTTTATTATGTTCCTTATCCTTCAATTTAACCAAGTAAACAAGGATGTTGCGTTGTAATCAACTCCAACCCAATGGGTTATATTGAATCTGGCGGTGTAATGGAAGATGATGTTGTATACCAAGATGATGAGATTTCACCAATGAATGGGATAATTGAAATTAAGGAGATTACATGTTTGGGTGATACTGTAGTTGTGGGTCAACAAGTTGATGCAGCCATCTTGTTATCAACAAATCATGTAGAAGAAGAGGAAGAAGAGTCAGGAGACTATGAAGACAACAATATCGTATCTGATGAAGACAGTGATGATTACGATGATGAATAAATAAAATAATATGTATTATGTAATTATACTATTGTGTAATAATAATACTATGTAATATGTATTGTTATATATAATACTATTGTGTAATTGCTTGAATTAATTTACTTTTATCATTTTATGAAAAAACTTAGTTTAAAAATGCCACCCAGAAGTGAGGAAAAGGGTAAGGGTATGGCACGTCGCACAAGGTTCGTTGTAGAAGAGGTTCCTGATTCGTCTATGTTTATTCCTATGCCACTTTCAAGTCAGGTGCATCCTACTTCATTTCCTGTGTACCCTACTCCACCGCCTATGCAGACTTCACCCATGTCTGGCGGATCTTTCACCAGATTACTATCCACACCTGATTTTTCTTCATTCCCACCGATATCTGCGCCGACCTTTATTAGTCCTCCTGAATATGCACCTATTATGCATCTCAGTACCCCGTATCCCTCATATTTTCCGATTCCTTCCATGAATTCAAGCAGGCCTAGCACTCTGATTCCTCCCATGTAGTATTTTATGCCATATACAGAGGCTGGTGGATCTGGCATGCCACATTCATCACCTGTGCATTCTACGCATGATGAGCAGGATGATGAGGGTGATATTAGTGCTCATGGTCATGGAGGTACCAGTTCTTATGATCATGGAGATACTAGTGCTCCTGATAGTTCTTATGAGGAGCGAGCTGGACACACATTTTGAGAAATGCAAAGCCCCAAACAATTAGGAAATACAAGGGCAGATATGTCATTCATTGCGATGGAAGAAGGTATGTTTTATATATTATTTTTTTAAAATTTAAATTTGAGTTTTTATTAATGTCAATACTAACTCAAGATTTTTTTGGTTAGCCTTATACCATCACACCAGGCAGTATCATGTATAACAAAAGTTATTAAAGAAAAGTATAAAAAGTTTTGGCCGACATATGGAGCACTTCTCGAAAAAGAAAAGGAAGATTGGTTTAGTTTATTTCAGGTATAAAAGTAACTATTATATTAATTTCTTGTATATTTAGTTTATTTCATGATTTTACATTATTTAATTTTTTAAAATTCATAAAACAATGTAGGAGAAATATGTTTGGGACTTTACAGAGTAGCAACAAGTAAGAGAAACTTTTGATACAAAGTGTGTTGCTCGATTATCCGACATGCTTAGACGTGTTCGAATTAAATGGGAAAGTAAAGGAACACGTCCCTGTTGGATAGGTGAAGATGTATTTAAGCAACTTATTGACCATTGGAATTTGGAAACCTTTAAGAAAGTATCTGAAACAGCAAAAAAATACAGGGCATCTGAAGTTGGTGGCTACAACTACGCAGCAGGAAGTATTAGTGTTTCTAAAATTGCACATAGGCTGGTAAATTTATTTATGTTTTTACTTAAGTTTTCATTTAAAATTTAGATTAAAACAAACTATTTTTTCACTTATGTTTTATTTTATTAGCGTGATGAGTTGGGTAGAACTCTGATGCTTAATGAGATCCATCTAGAGACTCATATCAAGAAAAATGGGGAGTTTGTCGATAAACGCTCAAAGTACACTCAAGTAAGTTTTGCTAAAATTTAGTCATTTTATTTCTTTCATTTATAACATGTTATTTAGTCATCTTATTTAAATTATTATAACATCTAACTTTTTTATAGGAGGAGTATGATCGAAAACTTGCACTTTCTTTATCTGAGCATCCTGAGTTACCTCCACCATCACAGGGATACCCTGTTGATCCTTTTCTAGGTTTTTAGACTTGGTATGATGTTGCTCGCGGGAAGAGGAAAAATGGAAGGGTGTATGGTGCTGGAGGGTATGCCAAAACAATTAAGTGGTGTGATAGGACTTTCTGTTGCACCCCAAATTTTGACCCCTTAGATCCTCATCATCATTTTAGGATCATATTCATTTGATTAACAAACCTTAACCCATTTCAAGTCTATCTTTGTCAAGATGCAGATGAATCAGGGTTCCGTACTGTCAAAATCGAGGCTTCGATGGTTTGATCAATCAATGTTTTGGATTGATTCAACTTCAAACAAGATTAAGGATACTACATTGGGTCAAGTATGAATTCAATTTGAGGTGGTCACCCAGGAATTGAGAACAGTGCAGTTCAAGATGCCCGATTAGGGTTTTCGATCAGGAATAGTCAACTGTAGTTTGACTTTTGATTTGAAAAGTGTTTCAATGGTGGGATCATGGTCCATTAAGTTCCTATGGCTTGGTAAAGTCTATCCAGATAGTTTCAAGTCCTCAGAATACTCGGATCATCAACAAGCGACCCAGTAGTCACCGATTGATCGAACGGTTGACCGAAAAGTCAACTCTTCAACAACAAGGAATTTGACTTCAATATGTGAATCAAAAATGTTCCTTATGTCATATTGCATCTTCCCATAAAATTTCATGACCGTTGGACCAAGGGTTAAGAAGTAATTGCAAAATTTGGGAATTAGGGTTTTGAAAGGGGTAAGACCATAACTCCTCAACCACACATCCGAATGAAGTGGTTCAAAGATCATTGGAAAACTCTTGACAAATCCTACAAAATACTCAAAGTGTTCCATGGTCAAAAAATGCATAGATTTGGAGTTATGACAAAATTCATTTCAAGAAGGGAAATAACTTAGAAAAATTCTAAGTTATTTAGCCTTTTAAGCTTAATTTTTCAGCAACTTTGAAGGGTTTTTCAACCTAGTTCCATCTAGAATTTGGAAATCTCAAAAACATGAAAGTTATAGAGCTACTTGAGGGCTTTCTAAATTATGGTAGAGCTCCTCAATAGCATGTGTGAGCAAAAAGTTATGGACCATGAAAGTTAGGGTTGCCACACTTGAAACCACTATGTCAAGACTTTTCAAAATTCAGATTTCCACAACTTGAGCTATCCTTGACCCTTGGATCATGATTCAATCTGATAATTAGAGGTGTGGATGAGGAAAAATGCAGAAGAATGAGAGATTTGAAGAAAGAGACAAATTGCAAGCAACTTGTAATAAAATAATCAAATGTGTAAGAGGAAAGAGAAACTTTTCCTCCAAGAACTGTTGCAGCTGCAAGAATCATCACTCTAAGCCCTATGCAGTCACTTCATGCATCATTCCACTTGATTTTCTGACCTTCCTTGAGCCATGGAATTGATATGTAGAGATCTTGGCAAGATTCATTTCAAAACTTCATAAACTCCCTCCAAAAGTGGCAAAATTTAAATATGCCCTCACCCTTGCTCTCCCTATAAATAAAGGCATCCTCAATGATGTTAGACACACCATAGCACTCTTAAAAACCAAGAGAAACAACATATCTCAACTCTCCACCATTTCCTCAAAAACTTCATTTCTCCAATTTTCAAGTTTTTCACCAAAAACTGTCTTGAGCAAAACTCTGCTCAAACTCAGTTCCACCACTTCCAAGCCACTCAAAACCATTTACACAATCCATAAACATTGTGTAGAAGGTGTCTATACACTCAAACCACCCAAAAACATTATTTTCCTAAAAGTCAACCTTCATACCTTAGTATGTTGACTTTCATGCACTTTGGAAGCCAAATCTTTACTTGAGGCATTTCCCACCATTCCAACACTCCCAACACTTCATATATATCATATCTCAACTGTCCAAACTCTAAAAACCCAGCTGGAAACTTCACCACTCAAACTGTCTTGAAAGATAGCTTGTTGCTTCAAGAGGAAGAAAGCTCCAAATCTTTGCCAAAGAAGAAGATCTCTGGGTTTCTTAGCTTTTTAGCTTGCTCAAGACTTGTCTACAAGAGGTATGTGATGCTCAACCCCCTTATTATTCATTCATTATCATGTTTTACAATTTTGAAGTGATTTTGGTGAAATATAGTCATTGTTGTCGCATACTAGTTCGTTGTCAATAACTTAGGTTTTGTAGCTATGATACTTGCTTTTGTTAAAGTATTTCATTTATGAATGATGTGTTGATGATGTGTTACCAATATTGAGCTTTGACATTATGTATAACTTGTTTTGGAAGATTTTGTCTATATGGTAGTTTTAGGGATCCAAACATTGAAATGTTGGTGTGCTTGCCCTAGATTTGTCAATCTTAGTGTATTGTTGATATTTGGATAGCTTGTAAGTTGTTTCATGAGATCCCCCTGCCCTAGATCATGTTTGAATCTAATGTGGCTCTTGTTCTCACACTTATGTTATTTTATGTCTTTTTGCTTTATCATTACCATGAGTTTGGTGTTAAGAGGCTTGTGCTTGCCATGTTGTGTTTTAAATGTTGTAAACTATTGTTTTGTGTTTACATGATCTGTTTGCCTAGTGGAACTTGTTTGAAATATTGAAAACGTAAGAGTTAGCTATTAGGGCCTGCTGTGAGATTTTGTGGTTTTGCTGTCAAAGTTTGGATTAGCATACCAGTTCTGGTTTGGAATAGTTCTTGCTTGATTTTAAGTTGTGGAATCATTTGTTAATATTTTTTGAGATTGTATGTTGTACTTGTAAGTTCAAAATGTCCCTACTTGCTCAAAATTGTTTTGTCATTCTCCAACTGCATTGTCAAAACCTTATGATACTACCAACATGTCATTTTCTGTTCCAACTGATTTTTGCCTTATCTATGTGCATAGAATCAATGTTCTACATGTTTGAAACTTGTGTGTGATACTCAATTGCCTCAACTGCCTGTTTAAGTTTTGTTATTTGCATTTCATGAGCTTCAATATGCACTTTTCTGTTTGGTAATGATTTGATCTGTTTCTTGAGCATAATCTCATCTATTAGCACATTTATGGTATGTGTATGTCATTTGTTTCATCCTAAATCTCATTGCCTTGAAAATGCCCTGCAGTACTACTTTTCTGTTTCAAAACAGCTTCTTCATAGACATCAACCTGCCAATTTCTCTCCTGCTGGAAATATGCTTGAAATTTAAATGTGAACTCATCCATTTTCATGATTTTGATGTGTGTATCTTGTTGGTTTGGCCTATGTCTACCTGTTTCTTCATCTCACTCTCAAATTGCACTTTCAAACCA